ATCAAATATTAATTGAGCATAGTGATTTGGGTTGATATCTGGGTTCTCGGTTCTATTCCATTGATCTACATGTCTGTTCTTGTGCCAGTACCAGGCTGTTTTGAGAACAGTGGCTTTGTAATACAGCTTGAAGTCTGGTATTGAGATCCCTCCTACTTTACTCTTCTTTCTCAGGATTGCTGTAGCTATTAGGGGTCTTTTATTGTTTCAAATGAACTTTTGGAGAGTTCTTTCTAGGTCAGTGAAATATGCCGTTGGTATTTTAATGGGGAGTGCATTGAACCTATAGATTGCTTTAAGAAGTATGGACATTTAGATGTTGTTGATTCTACCAATCTATGAACATGGTATGTTCTTCCATCTGTTTACATCTTCCTCTATCTCTTTTTTTCAGTGTTGTGTAGTTTTCTGCATATAAGTCCTTTACTTCCTTAGTTAAGTTTATTCCTAGGTATCTTAATTTTTTTGGTGCGATGGTAAATGGAATTGCTTTTTTAGTCTCTGTTTCTGTAAGTTCACTGTTGGTGTATAGAAATGCCATAGATTTCTTGGCATTAATTTTGTATCCTGCTACATTGCCAAATTCATTTATTAAGTCAATTAGTTTTTTAATGGAGTCTTTTGGGGTTTTGATATACAATATCATGTCACTGCAAATAAGGATAACTTTACTTCTTCTTTTCCAATTTGGATGCCTTTAATTTGCTCTTCTTGTCTAATTGAAATGGCTCTAGTACTTCCAGTACTACGTCAAAGAGGAGTGGCGATAGTGGGCATCCCTGTCTTGTTCCTGTTCTTAGAGGGAATGGTTTTAGTTTTTGCCCATTGAGTATGATGTTGGCTGTGTGTTTATCATATATAGCTTTTATTATGTTGAGGTATGATCCTTGTACTCCCACCTTGTTGAGAGTTTTTATCAGGAAAGGGTGTTGGATTTTATCAAATGCTTTCTCTGCATCAATTGATATGACTATATGATTTTTATCTTTCAATTTGTTTATGTGATATATCACATTTATTGATTTGTGGATATTGTACCATCCTTGCATTCCTGGAATAAATCCTACTTGGTCGTGGTGTATGATCTTTGTGATGCTCTGCTGGAGCCAATTTGCTAGAATTTTGTTGAGGATTTTGGCATCTATGTTCATGAGGGATATTGGCCTGTAATTCTCTTTCATTGAGTTGTCTTTATCTGGTTTTGGTAATAGGATGATGCTGGCTTCATAGAAGGAGCTTGGAAGTGTTCCTTCCTCTTGAACTTTTTGGAATAGTCTGTGGAGGATAGGTTTTAGTTCTTCCTTGAATGTTTGGTAAAACTCTCCTGTGAAGCTATCTGGCCCTGGGCTTTTGTTTGCTGGAATCTTTTTGATGACTGCTTCAATTTCTTCCCAAGTCACTGTTCTATTGAGATTTTTAGATTCTTCCTGATTGAGTTTTGGAAGTTGGTATTTTTCTAGGAATATGTCTATTTCCTCCAGGTTGTTCAGTTTGTTGGAATAGAGTTGTTCGTAGTATTATGTAACAATCCGTTGTATTTCGGTGGGGTCTATTGTTATTTCACTTCTTTCATTTCTGATTTTGTTTATTTGGTTCCTCTCTCTTTGTTTCTTGGTTAGCCTGGCTAGAGGTCCATCTATCTTATTTATCCTTTCAAAGAATCAGCTCTTGGTTTTGTTGATCTTATGTATTGTTTCTTTGGTCTCTATGTTGTTTATCTCTGCTCTGATTTTTGTTATTTCCTTCCTCCTGCTTACACTAGGCTTTTCTTGTTGCTCTTTTTCTAACTCTTTGAGTTGTAGAGTTAGATACTTTGTTACCATTTTTTTCTTGTTTTTTTGTTTGTTTGTTTGTTTGTGTGTGTGTGTTTTTTTTGTTTTTTGCATTAGGCTTGTAGGGATATGAACTTCCCTCTCAAAGCTGCTTTTGCTGTGACCCATAGATTTTGGATTGTTGTGTTTTCATTGTCATTTGTTTCCAGGATGTTTTTAATTTCTTCCTTGATTTCCCTGGTAACCCAATCCTTGTTTAATAGCATGCTGTTTAGTCTCCATGTGTTTTATTTCTTTGGATTATTTTTATTGTAGATAATTTCCAGTTTTATGCTGCTATGACCTGAGAAGATGCTTGATATGATTTCTATCTTCTTGAATTTGAAGAGACTTTACCTATGTCTCAAAATGTGGTCTAACTTTGAGAATGTCCCATGTGCACTTGAGAAGAATGTATACTCTATGGCTTTGGGGTGAAATGTTCTGAAGATGTCGATTAATTCCATCTGGTCTAGTGAGTCATTTAGGATTGATATTTCTTTGCTTATTTTTTGTTTAGATGATTTGTCGAAGGGTGACAGTGGGGTATTAAAATCTCCTACTATGATTGTATTGCTATTAATCTCTCCCTTAATGTCCTCCAGCAGTTTTTTTTTTTTTTTTTAATGTATTTGGGTGCTCCCGTATTGGGTTCATATATATTTACCAGGGTTATTTCTTCTTGTTGGATTGCTCCCTTTAGTATTATGAAGTGGCCTTCATTATCTCTTGTTATATCTTTCACTCTGAGATCTAATGTGTCAGATATAGGCATTGCTACCCCAGCTTTTTTTTTCATTTCCATTCGCCTGGAAAACCTTTTTCCATCCCTTCACCCTCAGTCTGTCTATGTCTTTTTTTCTGAAGTGGGTTTCTTGTAGACAACAGATATATGGGTCTTGTTTTCTTATCCAATCTGTTACCCTATGTCTTTTGATTGGAGCATTTAATCCATTTACATTTAAAGTTATTATTGATAGGTACTCATTTGACGCCATTTTTATTCTATACCCCTGTGTTCCTTCCTCACTCCCTATATTTTTACAGTAGACCTTTAGCATTTCTTGCATTGCTGGATTGGTGGAGATAAATTCCTCTAGTCTTTTTTTTGTCTGTGAAGCTCCTGATTTCCCCTTCAATTTTGATTGATAGCCTTGCTGGGTACAGTATTCTTGGATTCAGACCCTTCCTTTGCATGACTTTGTATTGTATATTTCATCCAATTCCCTTCTGGCCTGATGAGTTTCTGTTGAGAAATCAGTTGCTAGTCTGATGGGGGTTTCTTTCTTTGTATGTAACTTTCTCTCTCTCTCTGGCTGCTTTTAAGATTCTTACTTTGTTGTTGGTGTTTGCCAATTTAATTATAATGTGCCTTGGCGTCGGTCTTCTGGGATTCATTTTGCTTGGGACTCTGCAAGCATCTTGGATTTGTGTGGATTTTTTCTTCTCTATCTCAGGAAAATTTTCTGTCATTATTTCTTGAAATACGTTTTTCATGTCTACCTCAGTTTCCTTTCCTTCTGGAACCCCTATTATTTGAATATTGTTTTGTTTTGTATTGTCCCAAAGCTCCCGTAGACTCTCCTGCTTTTTATTTTATTTTTTTCTAGAAGCTGCTCTAATTGGGTATTTTTTCCATCTTGTCTTCTAGCTCACTGATGCGGTCCTCTGCTTCATCTAGTCTACTCTTGATGCTTTCTATTAAGTTCTTCATGGTAGCGATGTCATTTTTCATTTCTTCTTGGTTCATATTTATTTCCTCTTGGTTCTTCTTCAGTTCCTCATGATTCTTCTTCATTTCTTCTTGGTTATTGTCAAATTTGTCTCCCATTCTTTTTAGCCATCTTATGATCATTACTCTGAATTCCTGCTCTGGTAGGTTGCTTGCCTTTAACTCGTTTACTTCCTTTTCTGGTGATGCCTACTTTTCTTTCATGTGTGGGCTATTTCTTTGTCTGCCCATCTTTTCAGGATGTCTAGTTATATGGTTTTCTTTCACCTTTCTGTGGGTGATTGAAGAACTCCCTTGAATCCACCTTTTTGCATCAATTGGGGCGTCACAGCTGCTCGATGGTCCCCTATGCTGTGGGTTTTCCAGGTTTCAGAGAAGGTCCTCCTTTCTTGGTAAGATGGCGCAGCCTTCCCTCTGAGCCCATAGCTCCGGGAGAGGTCTCCGCCACCGCAGTGCTGGCTGCTTGGTCAGGAAAATCCGTTTCTTTAATTTGTGACCTGTTTCTTTGTTTCCGTATTTTGGCTGCTTCCCTGTGTTGATAGCATGGCTTTGTGTGCTAGGTGTCTTATGGGGCCCAGTGGCTCAGCCTCCCCAGTTACCTGAGGTGGACACTCTTGGTGCACCCCTTTGTGAGCTGTGTGCACAATCTTATTGTAGTTAAGCCTTGATTGTTGTTGGTATCACTGGGAGTAATTGACTTCCAGGCTAATTGGATGTAAGGATCAGCTGTGTCTATGATGGGAGAACTTCTGTGCTGGAGACACCATTATGAGACAAGACTTTCTTCAGTGGGACTTTGGCACTCAATGAGTATGCCCCCTGTTTGTGTCCCTTATGGATATGAGTTGTAATCTGGATGGTCCTATTCTGACCACTGGGTACACTGGCTCTTGGCTATCCAAGGAGGTGCTAATATAGCCTCTGCCTGAGGCCACCCAGCAGGAGCTACAGAGAGAGCTGAAGATTTCTCTTCTTTGTTTGGGTTTTGGAAGTGCCCAGATGAGGCCCATCTGTGAAGCAAGCTGCTGTGGGGCCTTGGGCTTCTTTTGGATGTTCTGGGTCTCACTGACTCACATGCAGTTTGTTAGGTAAGTATAGAATTCAAAGGACCAGGCCATTCATATGCAAAAGCATCTGCACTCAGCTTGAATGTGGCAGAGTCTCAGGTGGAGCAATCAACGATGGCTTCCCATCATCCCTGCTCTAAGAGGCCCCTGTGTCTCGGTGTTCCACAGTAATCATTGCAAGCACCTCTGCGAGAAAACCTCCCTTGAGTTTCACCTGCTGCCAGCCAGTCCAGTTTCTCCTATATGAGTCTGGATCCCCAGAGTCTCACCTGGAATTGGAGTTCAGAGCAGTAGGGAGCTTTTGTCTCCCTCCTGCTTGAAAAAGACAGCCGTGTACTCAGTTGCCAGCTTTCTCTGCGCATGTGCACCTCCATATTTCTCCACTACTGCAGCTCTTCTGAGTCTCAGTGTACTTTTCTCTTTACTTCTAGTTGTAGAATTTCCACTCAGCCTACCTTCGAGTGGTCCTGGATGATGTCCAATTTGTCTTAGTGGTAGTTTTGAAATTGTTGTGCATGGCAGCAGTTCAAGTGTTTACCGATGCTGCCATCTTGGTTTCTCCCCTACTATGATTGTATTGTTGTCAATCACTTCCTTGATATCTTCCAGGATTTTATTTTATGTTTTGGTGCTTCTGCATTGGGTGCATACTAGAGTTACATTCTCTTGTTGTACCGATCCTTTTAGTATTATGAAGTGGCCTTCCTTATCTCTTGTTATGGCCTTCATTTTGAGGTCTAGTTCATCATATATATGTATTTCTACCCCAGCTTTATTTTTAATTTCCATTTTCTTGGAAGATATTTTTTCATTCCTTCACTTTCAGTCTGTGTGTCTCCCTTATTCTGAGGTAGGTCTCTTGTATACAGCATGTATGTGGGTCATGATTTTTTTTTATCCATCCAGCCACTCAATATCTTTTGTTTGGAGCATTTAATCCATATTTGTTTAAACTTATTATTGATTAGTACTTATTGGTACTGATTTTTATTTTTTTTTTTGTGCCCGTGTTCCTTCTTCCCTTCCTATTTTTTCTCTTTTATAGCAGTCTACTTAGCACTTCTTGCATTGCTGGCTTGGTGACAATAAACTCGCTTAGTCCTTTCTTGTCTGTGAAGCTCCTGCTATCCCCTTCAACTTTGAATGATAGCCTTACTGCATAGAGTATTCTTGAATTCAGTCCCTTGCTTTGCATCACTTTGTATATTTCATTCCACTCCCTTCCACCTTGATGTGTGTCTGTTGAGAAATCAGTTGATTGTGGGAGATTCCTTATAATAACTTTCTGTCTCTCTCTTACAGACTTTAAGATTATTACCCTGTCATTGTTGTTTGCCAATTTAAATATGATGTATGGTACTCTGGTGTTGATATTTCTGAGTTCATCTTTTTTTGGACTCTGCATGCTTCTTGGACTTGTGTGAGTTTTTTCTTCCAAATATCAGGGAAGTTTTCTGTTATTATTTCTTCACACAGGTTGTTTTTTAAAAAAAAATATATTTTATTGATTTTGTACAGAGAGGAATGGAGAGAGATAGATAGAAACATCGATGAGAGAGAGTCATCGATCAGCTGCCTCTTGCACACCCCCTACTGGGGATATGCCCGCAACCAAGGTACATGCCCTTGACCAGAATCGAACCCGGGACCCTTCAGTCCCCAAGCCGACGCTCTATCCATTGAGCCAAACCGGTCTCGGCCACACAGGTTTTTTATTCCTTGTGCAGTTTCCCCTCTTCTGGCACCCCTATTATGTGGATGTTATTCATTTTCTATTGTCCCATAGCTGGCTTAGGATCTCCTGCTTTTAAAGTGTTTTTTGTTTTGTTTTGTTCTGTTTTTTTTCCCCCCACTTGCTGCTCTGCTTGGGTGTTTCTTTTTTACTTGTATTCTAGCTCACTGATGCAGTCTCGGCTTATTCTATTATACTCTACTATTGATACATTCCATTGTGTTCTTTATTGCAGTTATGTCATTCTTCATTTCCATTTGGTTCTTCTTTATTTTCCCCTTGATTCTTACACATGTTGAATTTGTCTTCCATCCTTTTCAGTGTTCTTGTAATCATTGCTCTGAATTGTTTCTCTTACTTGCCTCCATTTTATTTAGTTCCTTTTCTGGTGATTCCTCATTTTCTTTTGTATGTCAGCTGTTTCTTTTTCTCCACATTTTTGCTGTTCCTTTGTGTGTGTTTTTCTATGTAGTGTTTCACAAACTTTTGACATATGTGTACCCCTTCTATAATTTTCGTAACGCTGAGTACTCCTCGTACACATGGGAACTTAGAATTAGGCACAGCTAAGCACGGTGCAGTGCATATCCCCACCAAACTCCAGTGAAACATGTACCCCCACCAAACTCTTCTCGTACCCCTGGGGTACGCGTACCACACTTTGGGAAACACTGTATCAAACTCTTATATCACCCAGATTTTTTTTTGAGTTTGTCTTGTATGGTAGATGTTTTGTGAGACCCAGTGGTGCAACTCTTAGGTCTTCTGGCTGAATATTCTAGGGATGCTCCCTACTTGGGATATTTGGGTTCTGGTACAGTTGAGTCTTGAGTGTTATTGTCCCATTCAAGGATGGAGTCTCCGCTCCAGGTGTCTGATTATGTGGCTCACTTTATACCACACTGACAGAATAGCATAAAATACAGCTCAAAAATACATGATACAAAGGGAACAAAACAAAAATGTACTCACAAGACCAATTACCCCAATAAAAGTAACCTTCAGAGGAAAGGTAATTAGAAAGAAAATAGAGCAAAAATGGTACTCAGAAATGGAAAAAGGGTAAGAGAGAGGAAAAAAAGAAGTAAAATGAAGAAAAAAAAATACATATGTGGGGAGAAAACACCACAAAACAAACAAATAAACCAAAAAATACAAAAAACAAACAGCCAGAAACAAAGGTGGGGTGGGGGGGAGGGGGAAGCACAATCTGTAAAGGCAAAACTTTTATCCAGAAAGTAAGGTAAATGAGTTGAATTAATAGAGCAATGGCCATGGTTCAGTCTAGAGGAGGTAGAAACAGAATGAGTGGATAAAACGTAAAAACAAAATAAAAAATAAAAAATAAAAAGATAAGAAAATGACAAAAACAATTTTTAAAAATTTATCTATCTATATATTCATCTATTTTTGGAAAAGGAGAATAGAGGAGAGGACAGACAGACTTGAGTTTAGTGAGCAGAACTAATTAAGCCATTAGGAGAAGAAGATAGCAAGACAGGAGAGGCAAAACAAAAGCATAAAAAATTGACTACAGAAGAAAGAGAAAAGAGAAGAGTGCATGGAATTGAAGCAGAGAAGAGGAAATTAGATACATGAGTAAGCCAACAGAGACAACAATAATAATAACATGTAAATAAAGCAGATAAAGAAGATAAATTTTTAACAAGGGGTAAGAAGAAAGGAGAGAGAAAAATTATAGCAGGGATAGGAGAAGAAAAACAGGATGTCAAAAGGAGAAAAGTGAGGAAAAAAAGGGTGGATAAAATTAGGTAAAAGTGATAAAAAAAATAAAAATGGAATGAAGGAAAATAATACAAAAAAGGTTAAATAATAATAAATAAAAAATTAAGTAAAAATAAATATGAAAAAATGAAGTGCCATTCATTTAAGCCCAGTTTTAATGTCCCATGGCGGCTGGTTTAAGACCCCTCTCTATTGTTCTGTCTGCCACGTCTCAGTTTCCTGTTAGGTAGTCAGAAGTTTCCCGTGATGCACCACTCCTCTGCATCTGTCTACACTGCCTTGGTTGCAGGCAGGTGGGGCCAATCTGCCCACTTTGTTTATCTATCTGCTCTCATTCTTATTTACACCAGTTTCTATTTCTGACATGGTGCTGTATTGGTTTATGGGACAAAACAGCACCTTAACCCAGTTCTCAAGGGCTCCCCGAGGATATTCAGAGTCTCAGGGGCAGTCTCAGCTGTGCACCTGTATGAGGACTGGCCATGAGGCTTGGGCTGCTTTGTTCTTCACAACATGGTGGCTGGGTTCCCAGAGTGAGCTTTCCTGGGGAGAGAGTCAGATGGCATCAGCATAGCAGTCACACAGCAGTCACCATTATCATTAACTTTCCTGAAAGTTTGTTGTTAATGGTGGTGATGATGATGTTTACTATGTTCCCTATTTTGTGGGAAATAACAAAGAATTTCAAGATAGCATTCTTGAATTAAGCCTCCCTCACCCACTTTTTTTAGTTCTAAGAAATATAGGGCTATGCCACTAAACTTTAACAGTAAGAGTTTTAACTTCACCATAATTCAGGGAATCATTTCTTCTTGAAATGCAATTCAAGTTAGCATCAAATGTTTCTGGTTCAGTAAAAGACCTACGGCATTAGAATCGGTATTTATAAGATTCATTAATTTGCCTCGGTTTGAAAGTCTTATCTTGGTAAGCATTTGATGACAGTTCTGAAAACCATAATATGGTATCTTTAAAACTTTTTTAAAGATTGTGAAGAATTGAGATGGGAGAAGAGGTAAGAGACTTTCTACTAAGGGGCAATGTATAGTCATTTTTGTGGAGGAAAGACATGAAATAATCATAGAAAAAGGAGCATAAAGTCAAGTGGCAAAGACAACAATAAATGTACTTTTGTGACTCCTGGTCTTTTTAACTTTGGTTTTGATTCTGACTAATTCAAGGTTCCACATTCCAAGACTCTACCACCGTACAGATAACGTTTTATTGCAACTGAACTCATTTCAAAATGTCATACTGGTGAACACACCTCCATGACCAAACTATATTCTTTTATTCATGCAGAATGATGATCTTATAGCAAAACTGCCACCATCAACTTCAATTGAAGAAAAGACACCTCAACAGGAGTTAACAGTGGATGCACTTCTAAAGGAATGTGAAGAAATAAAGGCTGAAAAAGAGAAGTGGAAAGAAACGGTAGTAAACCTCAGAACATGTAAGAAAATGCATATGGCAGAAGACTGTGAAATAGAAAAGTATAATCTGAAGCTTCAAGAAAGTGCAAAAGATGTAGCAGACAAAGTGACACAACTCAACTTATATTTACAGGTTAATTTATTGATTTAGTTTATTTCACTGCAAATTACATTTTGGATAAATACAGTGTTTTTGCATTCCCTTTACTTCCTTCAATAGCAATTTATTTTATAGATTTCTGGAAGAAGGGTGGCATTTGTTTTTCCTTTTTATTATTTTAGTTTCCATCATTATTATCACTGACTTGATATTTCCAATAGATTCTTTGTAGAGGATCATTTTATTTTTAAGACCAATTAATGTTAAACAAGACCATTTGAAAGAAAAGGGGGGGATGAGACTTAAAAATTGTTCTATACTCTTGAATTAAGTTATATCCTTCTACTTTAAAAAATTTAAACTGAATCTATTATTCTTTGAATTATCAGATTACATGAGTACTAACAGAAGATTGATTAAGTTTATAATTCAAATTTAATTCAAAGGACATTGATGACAAATATTTTAAATGTCAAATTCATACCTAAAGTTGACCTCTGAGTCGTTGACTCAAAACTGAAGAAAACAATTATAACTGCTCAGGTTATACTTACTTTAAAAATCTATCCTTTGTATTTGCTTTAGGCACAAAGCATCTCAAGAAATCTCCGAGCCATTCACAAGCATTCATAATGTTCCCATAAGAAGCCATTTGGAACTCAGAACTCGTCTTCTGCAAACTTCTCAAGATGATATCAAAAAATGTATCGAAAACATATGTGCAACTCTACCAAGAATTGGAATGCAGCAAATTATTGGAAAGGAAATGAACTTTGTTAAGTCAAATGGAGAATCAGAGAAAATAAAGTTAACTCAGTAATTAGCCTCTAAACTTAAAAAACATTACTGTTGTGCCAGGTTCATGAGATTAGCGGTGTGTGAAAGCTAATTAAATAGTATAACTTTGGCAAATGATGTGAATAAATAAATTTACCATTCAAATGTTTTTTTTAGGACAGTTACATCTCCCTCCTTTTTTGGTTTTATGTGCCTTTAATTTGTTCCCCTTAATATTTTAATTCAGTTAACCTGATCTAACAGTCTTGAAGCTGAATGTCTGGAAACTCTAAAATTTAGCAATCCTATCTAATAAAAGAGAAATATGCAAATTGAGCATATCTCCACAACACCCCCCCCAACCACGCCCACCAGCCAATCAGAGAAAATATGCAAACAAACCCAACCAAGATGGCTACGGCCACAGAGAGCAGGAGGGAGGCTTGGGTTTCCCCAGCAACGGAGGAAGCCAAGCTTTCTGCCTGCCCTTGCAGGCCTAGGGCTCCACTCAAGGCAACAAAGTTTCAATTATAGAAGGTAAACAAATTCCAACAGAAATGGCTGCAGCCACAGAGCAAGCACGAGGCTTGGCTCTGCTCCAGGCTACAAAGTTTCAATTGTAGAAGGTAAATAAATCCCAGATACCAGAGCCTCCACTTGGGTCACCAGGGGGCATGGTTGGCCTGCAAACCACCACAGGCCCCTCATCCAGCCAGTCCACACTCTAAGGGAACCCCCACCCTGATCCAGGACACCCTTCAGGGCAAACCAGCCGGCCCCCATCCATACACTAGGTCTCTATTCTATCTAAAAGAGGAGTAATATGCAGATTGATCATCATTCCAACACACAAGATGGCTGCCCCCATGTGGTCAAAGATCCTGCCCCCCTGTGGACACAAGATGGCTACCACAAGTGGCCAGCAGGGGAAGGAAGTTGGGAGGGACCAGGCCTGCAAGGGAGGGCAGCTAGGGGCACTCAGACCTGCAGAGGAGGGCAGTTAGGGGTGACCAGGCTGGCAGAGGAGGGAAGTTGGGGGTGACTGGGCCTGCGGAGAAGGGCAGTTGGGTGGGACCCAGTCCTGCAGGGGAAAGGAATTGGTGGGGACCAGGCCTGCAGGGGAGGGCAGTTAGGTGTAACCAGGCACGCAGGGGAGGGCAGTTAGGGGTGACCAGGCCTGAAGAGGAGGGCAGTTAGGAGCAAACAGGCTGGCAGGGTAGCAGTTAAGCATCTATCAGGCTGACAGCAGAGTGGTTAGGGGGTGATCAGGCTGGAAGGCAGAAGCAGTTAGGGGCAATCAGGAAGGCAGACAGTTGAGCAGTTGGGAGCCAGCAGTCCTGGATTGTGAGAGGGATGTCTGACTGCCTGTTTAGGCCAGATCCCTCCACTTGTATGCATGCATATAAACATAACCAATGGATGCAAAACACTGAGGTTGGGGGAGGCAGTGGTAAGATATGTACACATATAATACCTTAATAAAAAAATCTAGTAATATTTTTATTGAATCTTAAGGTTTTTTAAGTACAATATTATGTCATCTGCAAATGATAATTTTACTTTCTTCTTTCTGATTTTTATGCCTTTTATTTCTTCTTTTTGTCTGGTCACTATGGCCAGTAATTCCAGTACTATTTTGAACAAGAGTGTGAAGGTGGATATTCTTATTTCTTTTCTTAGGGGAAATGGTTTTAGTTTTGGCCCATTGACTATGATGTTGCCTAAAGGTTTGTCATATCTGGCCTTAGTTATGTTGAGGTATGTTATCTATATTCCCAATTTGCTGAGGGTATTGAATTTTGTCTAATGCTTTTTCTGCATCAATTGACATGACATGTAGTGTTTGTTTTGAAATCTATTTTTTTCTTGCAATCTAATTATGTACTCTATCACATTTATTGACTTGCAAATATTGTCCAGGTTTGCATGCCCAGAATAAATCCCATTTGGTCATAGTGTATGATATCTTTAATGTGTTACTGGACCTGATTAGCTAAATTTTTTTCAAAGATTTTAGAGTCTAGGTTCATCATGGATAATGGCCTGTAGTTCTGTTTCTTTGCTGTCTCATCATCTGGTTTTGAATTAGGATAATGCTGGCTTTGTAAAAAGAGCTTGGAAGTGTTCTATCCTCCTGGACTTGTTGGGTGGTGTGAGGGGTATAGTTTGTTAGTTCCTATTTGAATGTCTGGCAAAACTCTCTGTTTTGGTAAGCCATCTGGACCAGAGCTTTTATTGCTGGGAGTATTTTTTTAAAAATCACTAATTCAATTTTGCCAGTAGTTATTGGTCTATTCAGGTTTTGTGATGCTCCCTGAATGAGTTTTTTAAAATATATATATATTTTATTGACTTTTTACAGAGAGGAAGAGAGAGGGACAGAGAGTTAGAAACATCGATGAGAGAGAGTCATCTATCAGCTGCCTCTTGCACACCCCCTACTGGGGATGCGCCTGCAACCAAGGTACATGCCCTTGACTGGAATCAAGCCTGGGACCCTTCAGTCCACAGACCGAAGCTCTATTCACTGAGCCAAACCGGTTTGGTTCAGGTTTTGGCCTGAATGAGTTTTGAAAGGTTGTATTTTTCTAGGAATATGGGCATTTTGTCCAGTTTGTCCCATTTGTTGGAATAATATCCTTCATAGTATTTTATTATAGTCCTCTGTATTTCTGTGTGGTCAGTTTTTACAGCATCTCATTCATTTCTAATTTTGTTTATTTGGGTCCTCTCTCTTTGTTTCCTGGTGAGCCTGGCTAGAGGTCCATCAACCTTGTTTTTCCTTTAGAAGAGCCAGTTCTTGGCTTTATTGATCTTATCTAGTAATATTTTCTTTTTGGTCTCCATGTCATTTATTTCCACTCTTGTCTTTATTATTTCCCTCCTTCCACTTCTGAGCATTTCTTGCTGTTCCCTTTCTAATTACTTATGTTGTAGTGCTATATAAATTATTTTCAGTTTTTCTTGTTGTGAGATAGGCAAATACTGCTATAAGCTTCCCTTTCAGGACTGATTTTACTATGTGTTCATTTTCAATTGCATCCAAGATTTATTTTTCTTATTTTGATCTCTTTGGTAACCCATTCATTGTTTAATAGCATGGTATTTAGCATCCATATACTTTATTGTTTTGAGCATTTTTATTGTACCTGATTACTAATTTCATGCCATTGTGGTCTGAGAACATGCACGGTATGATTTCAGTGGTCTATCTTGGAAAATGTCCCATGTGCATTTAAGAGAATGCATGTTCCATAGTTTAGGGATGGAATGTTCTGAAGATGTCAAGTAGTTTCATCTAGTCTAGTGATAAATTTAGAGTTGCAGTTTCTTTGTTGACCTTTTGTCTAGAAGATTTATCCAGTGATGTCAGGGAAGTATTAAAGCCCCATACTATGATTGTATTCCTATCAATCTCTCCTTTGATATCATGCAGAAGTTTCATCATATATTTAGATGCTCCTGTGTTGGGTGCATATCTGTTTACCCAGGTTATAACCGCTTCTTATATAGATCCCTGTAGTATTATGAAGTGGCTGTCTTTATCTCTCGTTATGTCCTCCACTTTGAGGTCTATTTTATCAAGTATTGCGACCCCAGCTTTTTTTCTTCTTCTTCTTCTTTTTTCAGTTTACCTGGAAAAAAAATTCCCTCCCTTCACAGTCCTTTGTTCTGAAGTAGGTCAGTTCTACACAGCACGTATATTGTTCATGTTTCTTATCCATTCAGATACCCTATATCTTTTGATTGGAACACTTAATCCATTTATGTTTAAGGTTACTATTGGTAGATACTTCCTTTTTGCCATGTTATCACTTGTGCCTGAGTTTCTTCTTCCTCTTCTTCTTCTTCTTCTTCTTCTTCTTCTTCTTCTTCTTCTTCTTCTTCTTCTTCTTCTTCTTCTGCTTCAGTCCCTTTAGCATTTCTTGCATTTTATTCTTTGTGGTAATATACTCCCTTGTCTGTGAATCTCCTGATTTTACCTTCAATTTTTAATAATAGCCTTGCTGGATAGAGTTTTCTTCAATTCAATCCTTTGTTTTGCATCACTTTGTATACTTTATTCCATTCCCTTCTGGCCTGATGTGTTCGTATCGAGAAATCAGTTAATAGTCTAATGGGAGATCCCTTGTTCGTAATTCTATCTCAGCCTTTAAGATTTTTATTTTTTCATGGATGTTTCCCAATTCAAGTATGATGTGTCTTACTGTCAGTCTTTTGAGGTAAACCTTGTTTGGGACACTCTGTGCTTCTTGGGTTGGTGTGACTTGATTTCTTCCCAAAGTCAGGGAAGTTTTCCCTCATTATTTCTTCAAACAGGTTTTCTATTCCTTGCTCAGCTTCCTCTCCTTCTGGAACCACTATTATGTGCATGTTGCTTCATTTCATTTATCCCAGAGCTGTTTCTCCTCCTGTTTTTTAATTGTTCTCCAGTTGCTGCACTGTTTGCGTAGGTTTTATTCTACTGTATCTTCTATCTGGCTGATTCAATTCTAAGCTTCTTCTAGTGTCCCATTAAAACCTTCCATTGTGGCCCTTGTTGTATCTATATCATTCCTCATTTCCCTTAGATTCTTACATATATTGGTGAATTTTTCATCCAGACATTTGAGCATCCTAGTAACTATTATTTGAATTCTTTCTCTAACACACTGCTTACATCTATTTCATTTAGTTCCTATTCTGGTGATTACTCCTTGACTTTCATATAGGGGTTGTTTCTTTGGCTCTCCATTTTTCTGTTCCCTTGTAATTGATTCTATGTATTTTTTCAATTAGTCTTATGTACTAGCTGTTTTGTAGTGCCTTGTGGTCCAGTCTCTCAGGTCAGCAAGGCTGGATATTCTAGGGAGGCATCATACTTAAAATATTTAGCTTATTCTGATGTAATAATATCTTGGATTTTATTGTCCATTTCAAAAATGTCTGATTATGTGGCTGGCTTTCTACCATTTTGTGCCAATGGATGTGGAACCAGATAAAGACAACACAATGAAGGGGAATTATAGGCCAATATCACTCACGAATGTACATGCCAAAATCCTCAACAAAATTCTAGCAAATTGGATCCAGCAATAAATCAGAAAGATCATATACCATGACCAAGTAGGATTTATCCCGGGAATGCAAAGATGGCACAATATCTGCAAATCAATAAACGTGATACATCACATAAACAAATTGAGAGGTAAAAATCACAAAGTCATATCAATTGATGCAGAAAAAGCATTTGACAAAATCCAACACCCTTTCTCTATAAAAACTCTCAGCCAAGTGGGAATAGAAGGATCACACTTCAATATAACAAGAGCCATATACGACAAACCAACAGCCAACATCATATTCTTTGGGCAAAAACTAAAACCACTTTCCCTAAGAACAGGAATAAAAGATGGATGCCCACTTTCACCACTCCTGCTTGACATAGTACTGGAAGTACTAGCCATTGTGATCAGATAAGAAGAAGAAATAAAAGGCATCCAAATTGGAAAAGGAGAAGTAAAACTGTCCTTATTCACAGATGACATGATATTGTACATTGTCTAAATACTCATAAAAAAATTAGACTTAATAAATGAATTGGGAAATGTAGGAGGATACAAAATTAATGCCAAGAAATCTATGGCATTTCTTTACACCAACAGTGAACTTACAGAAAGAGATACAAAAAAAGCAATCCCATTTACCACAGCACCAAAAAAATTAAGATACCTAGGAATAACTAAGGAGGTAGAAGACCTATATGCAAAAAACTACAGGACACTTAAAAAAGAGATAGAGGAAGACATAAACAGATGGAAAAACATACTGTGTTCCTGGATTGGTAGAATCAACATCATCAAAATGTCAATACTACCCAAAGCAATATATAGATTCAGGGCAATCCCTATTAAAATACCAGCTGCATATTTCACAGACATACAAAAAATCTCCAAAAATTCATCTGGCATAAAAAAAGACCCCGAATAGCTGCAGAATTCCTGAGAAAAAAGAACAAAGTAGGTGGGATCTCAATTTGAAATATCAAGCTGTATTATAAAGTCACTGTTCTTAAAACAGCCTGGCACTGGCACAAGAACAGACATATAGATCAATGGAATACAATAGATAATTCAGAAATTGACCCAAACCACTATGCCCAATTAATATTTGACAAAGGAGGCAAGAACATACAATGGAATCAAGATAATCTCTTCAACAAATGGTGTTGGGAAAATTGGACAGATACATGCAAAAAAAAAAAAATGAAACTAGACCACCAACTTACACCATACACAAAAATAAATTCAAAATGGATAAAGGACTTAAACATAAGATAGGAAACATTAAAAATACTAGAGGCATCCATAGGCAGGAAAATCTCAGACAAATGCTGAAGCAATTTCTTTGTTGATACTGCTCCTAGGGAATGGAAATTAAAGAGAAAATAAACAAATGGGACTACATCAAAATAAAAAGCTTTTTCACAGCAAAAGAAACCATCAACAAAAGGACAAGAAAGCCTACTGCATGGGAGAACGTAATTGCTAATGTTATCACCAATAAGGTTTTAATCTCCAACAGTTACAGGGAACCCATAGAACTTAACAAAAGGAAGATAAGAAATCCAATTTAAAAAATGGGCAACAGACCTAAATAGATACTTTTCAAAAGAAGACAGACGGAAGGCCAAGAAACATATGAAAACATGTTCAAAATCATTACTTACCTAAGAGATTCAAATCAAAATGACAATGCATTATTATCTTACACCTGTCAGAAAAGCTATCATCAAAAAAATCAACAAATCAAAAGTGTTGGCAAGGATTCCAAGAAAAAGGAACTCTTTTTGCACTGTTTGGTGGGAATGCAGACTGGTACAGCCACTGTGGAGAACAGTATGGAGTTTCCACAAAAAACTAAAAATGAAACTCCCATTTGGCCCTGTGATCCCACTTCTAAGAATATACTTTAAGAAGCTAGAAACACCGATCAGAAAGGATATATGCACCCCTATGTTCATAGCAACACAATTCACCATAGCTGAGATTTGGAAACAGTCTAAGTGCCCATGAGCAAATGAGTGGATTAAAAACCTACACAATGGAATACTATGCTGTGGTGGAAAAGAAAGAATTCTTACCATTTGCAACAGCATGGATGAAACTGGAGAGCATTATGGTAAGTGAAATAAGCCAGTCAGAGAAAAATAAACAACACATGATCTCACTCATTTATGGAATAAAATGAACAACATAAACTGATTAACAGGGACAAATCCAGACAGAGAAGCATTGATCAGACTGTCAAACCTCAGAGAAAAGGAAGGGGAGGGTGGGCTTAAGGAGGAGAGGTCAATCAAAGGACCTGTATGCATGCATATAAGCCTAACCAATGGACACGGACACCAGCGGGGTGATGACATGAGTGGGGGGAGGAGAGTTTAAGGTTAATGAGGGATGAGGACGCATATGTAATACCTTAATCAATTAATTTAAAAAATAAACAGTTAAAATAGATAATACCAAAGAAACAAACAAAAAGAAACATCTAGAAAAAAATAGGGGTGGAAAATCTGTACATGGTGAGCTTAATTAAAGAAAATAAGGTTAAGGAATTGGTTTAGAACAGAGGATAGAGGAAAGAAATGATAAGGCAAAGAGAAAATTAAAAAAAAATTTTTCAAAGAGGTTTAGAGGAGACAGCAGAAAGTCCTAAATTTAAGAAGTGAAGCAAGTTAAAAAATTAGGATAAGAGCAAGACAAAAGAGAAGGAAAATAAAAAAGCATAGTGAAGAAAGAGAAAAGAGAGGGGGAAATGGCATAGAATCAGGGAAGAGGAAATTAGATATGTAAATAAACCAACAGAGACTAGAATAAAAACACATCAATAAAGCAGATAAAGTAGGTCCATTTATAAAAGGGGGAAAGGAGAAAGGACATAGAAAAACTAAAATAGGTAAAAAAGATGAAAAATGGGAATAAGTGAGAAAGGAAAAGGTGCAAAAATAAGACGTAAGTAAAAACAAGGTAAAAAATTTAAAACGAAAACAAAAAAGTGAAGGGTCGTGTACTTCGCTGAATTTTAAAGCCCCGTGGCTGCTGGTGCAGGACCCTGCTCTTCTGCTCTGTCTGCTGTGCTGGCCTTGTCAGTCAGTCTTTGGCTTTTAGCTCCCTGCTTAAAGCTCCCAGCGATCCACAGGTCCTCTGCTTGTGTCTGTCTCCGCAGGCCTTGGCTGCAAGCAGGCAGGGCCACTCTGCCCTCTTTGCTTGTCTTCTGGCTGTCAGGCTTAACCACTCAAGCCTCTGTTTCTGACAGGGCTTTAGGTGGGGATGGTGCTGTTTCTCTTTCAGGGAATAACACGGGCTTCTTTCCTGACCCAGAGCTGCTTCTGCACATATGTCCCAAAATATTACTCTGGTTTTGGCTGGTCAGAGATCCTTGTATTGAGACCAATGGGGCTGGTTGGCACCCTAGAGTTTTTATCAGCCTGTTTCCCTGAATAGAATGATGGAACAGCCCCTCTTCCAATCCCATCACTGAGGGCTCTTTGGGGCTATTTAGACCCAGAAGCTTGGCTTCCTCGGTAAAACTCAAAATGCAGGCTGTGGCAGGAAGTATCTCTGGCCCTGAGCCTTCTGAGAGGGGCTTGCTCTTCTGGGGAGAATGGCCACGTAAGTTTGGAAGCTAAGATTGTCACACTTCTAGAAAAATATCCAAAAAATCAGAAACACCAACAAGAAAGGATATATGTCTTTGCCATATGTTCATGGCAGCACAATCATAGTTATCAGAGCTATGATTTGGAAACAGCCTAAATGCCCATCAGCGGACAAGCAGATTAAAAACTGTAGTATATCTACACAATGGAATACTATGCTGCTGTAAAAAAGAAGGAACTCTTATGTTTGCAACAACATGGATGGACCTCAAGAGCATTATGTTAAGGAAAAGAAGTTAGTCAAAGAAAATTAAATATCACATAATCTCATTTGTGGAATATAATGAACAACAAAAACTGATGAACAAAAATAGAGGAAACATCCTAGATGCATTGACCAGACTGTTCAAACTAATAGGGAAGGCAAGGGAGGGGTAAAAGATCAATTGAAGGACGTATACGCCTTCATATGAGCATAAGCAATGGACATTCTTGTATCACATAGGAGTGTTGGCAATGGGAGCCTTACATTGTCACGCTGGAATGTGTGCTGTGTGAGTGCTGAACGCGTCCCTGATGTGTTTGCCCGTGTGACATCTGGGGGATCATAGTGTAGTGTGTATTAGGAGCCCAGCAGACTCACAGAGGGATGTTGGCCATGAGGGACCCAACGTGTCACATGGTAGACGGAGCAGTGACGGCCCTCAGGTAAAAAGGTGTTGAGTTTTAGGGATACTGGGAGTGTCACAGTAAATATTAGAAGTTACAATTCATGGGTTCAAGGATGGATTCTGGCCTTGTGTTTTGTGGCTGAGTGTTTAGTGCAAGCATGTCAAACTCATGGTGCACGGGCTGCATAGGGCTCACACAACCCCGCAACCAATATTTTTGCAGTCTAGCCAATATAATGTTATGTAAGAATGGTTTTAATAAAAATTTTGTAACTTAATTTTTATAATATCCTGTTATCCATAATTATTAATAACGAACTACAACATTGATTAATGGCTTATTACTGTAACCGTGTTGTATTCATTTCCCTCACGTGCTTTATACATACCAGCAGTCAATATTTTAGCAGCCCATCGACAGTGTTTAGTCTTGTAATGACTTGTTTGGAAATATTTAACTTTCATAAAACAAGAAAGTAGGTTTATTTGTGTCACGCTTATTAATTTGTGTAGTTATTTATTATAGTATCTGGTAAGTTAGTGTTCAAGAAAAATATTCATTTTTTTAAAATGTTCTACTGTTTTATGTTAATGATTACTCAATTAATTTAGCCCTTTGTATTCAGCCTGTCTCTACTGAAATAAACCTATGCTTTTAAGAAAATGTAAGCTTTTGCTTTTTTTTTTGTGGTCTATATAAACATCAACCTTGTTTATTTGGCCCATATTAGTTTTTGAGTTTGACATGCTTGGTTTAGTCTGTCAGCCAGAGCACCAAAAAGTCTCGAGTTCCATCCAGGTCAAGGGCATATACTTGGGTTGTGGAATTGCCCCAACCTCCATTGGTGCATGCACCTTGGGCAACCAGTTGATGTGTGTCTCTCTAGCTATCCCTACTCCTTCTGACTTTCACTTTTCCACTGTCTCTTAAAGGCAACACAAGTAACAACCTCAGGAGCTGATTTATAACAAGAAAAAATTATGCACAGTGGGCACCATTGGGACCAACCACAGGGGTACAATGGGAGTCCTGAATGTGTCCCAGTGGACATTGACTGTGTGAGACTTGGGGTGTCAATGGAAAAGATGGACAGCAAGGAACTGCAGGTTTCCCAGTACAGTGAAGCCACTGTAAGATCTGAAGGTGTCACTGTATACTGTGGCCTTCAGTGCCGCTCAGGTGCCCAAGGGGGTTGAGGTCAGTGGTGGCCCATTGGAGTGGGCAGCGGGAGTCCTGTGCTGTCACTGTAGTGTGTTGTAAGGCCAGCAGATGGATGGGACTGTGTGGCCCTCGGGAGACCTTGTCTAGCCCTGTGGTGTTTGTTATTTGGAGCCCCTGGAATGTCATATGAAATTGTGTCCGTGGCTTCTCTCAGGTGTCACTTCCAGTGGTGTCCTTTGAGAGCTCAGCAGTGGGTGAGGGCAGACCTGGGGAGTCACAGCAGTGCATTGTTAGTGTGAGCCTTGTGCTTTCCAGAGAGAAGGCTTGGGAATGGGAGCCATGGGGAAGCACAGCAGTTTGTGAGGAGTGGGAGGCATAAAGTGTGACAGCAGTAGACCTGAAGGTGTCACAGTTGTGTGGGCAGTGAAAACCAAGTATTGACACAGTGGAAAGTTCTCAGCGGGATTTTGGAGGGTTATATTGGCATGTGGAGGCCCTGTGCTGTCACGTTGGATTGTGGATAGGGAGCCCCCTGCATTGTCACAGTGAAGTGTTGGATGGAGGAGCCCTGGATGGATTGAAATAGAAAGTGGACAGTAGAAGCCGAGAGGTTCACCAATGAAAGATGTGCTTGAAAGCTCCGAACATTTCACAGTGAAGTAAGGAGAGCGAGTGTTCTCAAGTTTTACATTTGTATGTTGTCATCAGACTTGAAGTGTGAGAATGGAAAATGTGCAGTGGGACCAACTGGGAATGGTAAAGGAAACCATGGTAACTGGATGCCTTGAGGTGTCACGGTGGATGGGTGGCTAGAAGGACACCTCAGTTGTCACATTGCAATCTGCCCTGTGAGAACCATGAAACATGAGTGGAGTGTGGACATTGGGCGCCCTGGAGTGTTACAGGGGAGAATTGTCCAAAGAAGTCATGGGTTGAGACAGATGATAATGGGCAACTAGTACTATTGGATATTACTGTGGGGTGAGGGCATTTGGAGGCATCGTGTGTTATGGTCATGAAAGGAATTGAGATTCCTGGCATGTCACAATGGAATGTGGGGAGTGGTTGCCAAGGGATTCTGAAGTGGCAGCCATATCCTGCTGGACTCCATGGCTGCTCTCAGACCCCTCATGAAACTCAAGATTGTTAAAAATAGGACCAAGAAGTTCATCCGGTCGAAACCGGTTTGGCTCATTGGATAGAGCGTCAGCTTGCATACTCAAGGGACTCAGGTTCGATTCTGTTTAAGGGCATGTACCTCGGTTGCGGGCACATCTCCAGTAAGGGGGTGTCCAGGAGCCAGCTGATCGATGTTTCTCTCTGATAGATGTTTCTGACTTTCTATTCCTCTCTCTTCCTCTCTGTAAAAAAATCTATAAAATATTTCTTGAGAGAAAAAAAAAGAAGTTCATCTGGCACCAGTCAGACCGATAGGTCAAAATTAAGTGGAACTGACGGAAACCCAGAGGCATTGACAATAGAGTGAGGAGAAGATTTAAGGGCCAGATCTTGATGCCCAACATTGGTTATGGGAGAAACAAGAAAACAAAGCACATGCTGCTCAGTGGCTTACGGAAGTTTCTGGTCCATAATATCAAGGAGCTTGAAGTGCTGCTGATGTGCAATAAGTCTTACTGTGCTGAGATTGCTCACAACGTCTCCTCAAAGAACTGCAAAGCCATTGTGGAAATAGCAGCCCAGCTGGCCATCAGAGTCATCAATGCCAGTGCCAGGTCACGCAATGAAGAAAATGAATAGACAGATTGTGTACACATTGTATTTGTGTTAATAAAATCATAAAATTCTGCAAAAAAAAAAAAAAGACTCATATAATTCAGTCTTTTTTTTTTTTTTTTTTTTTTTGCAGAATTTTATGATTTTGGAAGACAAGCAATACAATTTAAAAAATAGGCAAAGGACCTGAATAGACACTTCTCCAAAGAGGACACACAGATGGCCAATAGACAGGAAAAAATGCTCAACTTACTAATCAGAGATGCAAAATAAAACTGCATTGACTTATCATCTCACACCTGTCAGAATGGCTACCATTAACAAATCAGCAAGCAACAAGTGCTGGTGAGGATGTGGGGAAAAGGGAACCCTAGCACACTACTGGTGAGAATGCAGACTGAGGCAGCCACTGTGGAAAATGGTATAGAATTTTCTCAAAAAATTGAAAGAGGAACTGCCATTTGACCCAGTAGTCTCACCTATCAGTGGTCAAGATGGTATGCGCAGTACTCATTGCCTCCCAAACCACATCACAATTTACAACTAAAATACAGAAAAACCGTCATTCAGAACCACCTGGAATCTAGTTGAATGGAAGTCCTACAACTAGGGAATTAGAGAAGTACATGGAGATTGGTAGAGGGGCAAAGACTTGAGGAAGAATTGAGGAACCAGCTGGCCTTACTCTCATGTGTGGCAGTTTAAAATAAGGAGGGGCCAAAACCAGTTTGGCTCAGTGGATAGAGCATTGGCCTGCGGACTCAAGGGTCCCGGATTTGATTCCAGTCAGGGGCATATGCCTTGGTTGCGGGCACATCCCCAGTAGGGGGAATGCAGGAGGCAGCTGATCGATGATTCTCTATCCCTCTCTCTTCCTCTCTGTAAAAAATCAATAAAATATATTAAATAAATAAATAAATAAATAAATAAATAAAATAAGGAGGGATAGCCCTCGTTGGTTTGGCTTGGTGGAGAGGGCACCCACCTGCAAACTGAAGGGTTTCGGGTTCAATCCTGTTCAAGGACACATATCTTGGTTGAAGGCTCAATCCCTGGCCCAGGTCAGGGTGTGTGCAGGAGGCAACCAATTGATGTCTCTCTCACATTGATATTTCTCTCTCTTGTCTCACCTCCTTCCCACTCTCTAAAAAATCAATGGAAAGCCGAAACCGGTTTGGCTCAGTAGATAGAGCGTCAGCCTACAGACTGAAGAGTCCCGGATTCGATTCTGGTCAAGGGCATGTACATTGGTTGCAGGCACATCCCCAGTAGGGGGTGTGCAGGAGGCAGCTGATGTTTCTCTCTCATCGATGTTTCTGACTTTCTATCCCTCTCTCTTCTTCTCTATGAAAAAATTAATAAAATACCTTTTTTTAAAAATCAATGGAAAAATACTTCCACCTGGCCACTGGTGCTCAATAGTTGAGTGCTGACCTATGAACCAGGAAATCACAGGCTCGATTCCTGGTTGGGGTTGGTGCACATGCCAGGATTATGGGCTCAATCCCCAGTATGGGGTATTGCAGGGGGCAACCAATCAATGATTCCCTCTCATCATTGATGTTTCTCTTTCTCCCTCTCCTTTCCTCCCTGAAAATGAATTAAAAAATATATGTATCCGGGAGAGAAACCAAGATGGTGGCATAGGTAAACACCTGAGCTTGCTGCTGCACAACCACTTCAAAACTTCAACTAAAGCCAAAACCGGTTTGGCTCAGTGTGTAGAGTGTAGGCCTGCGGACTGAAAGGTCCTGGATTTGATTCCTGTCAAGGGCATGTGCCTTGGTTGTGGGCATATCTCCAGTAGGGTTTGTGCAGGAGGCAGCTGATCAATAATTCTCTCTTGTCAATGTTTCTAACTCTCTGACCCTCTCTATTAAAAAAATCAATAAAATATATTTTAAAAATAAATAAATAAAATAAAAAACTACAACTAAAAGACAAAACGGACATCATCCAGAACCACAGGAAGGCTGGCTAAGTGGAAATTCTAGAAGGAAAGAGGAAAGCACAACTCAGACCCAGAGGAGCAGTGGGAGTAAAGTCCAGAGTTACAGAGGTGTGCGCACATGGAGAGGGCTGGCAACTGAGTATGCGGTTGTCTTTTTCAATCCAAAGGGAGAGACAAGCTCCCTACTGATCTGAACTCCAGTTCTGGGCAAGACTCTGGGCACGCAGACTCATATGGGGAGAAACTGAATTCTCTGGCATCAGGCAGAACTCCAGGTGGCTTTCTCTCAGAGGTACTTGCAGCGATTACCAAGGGACACTGAGACCCAGGGACCTCTAAAGGCAGGGCTGATGGGAAGCCATGGCTGCTTGCTCTGCCCTGAGACTCGGCCCCATCCAAGCTGTGTGCAAAGGCTTTTGCATATGAATGACCTATAAACAAACAAACAGACAAACAAACAAACTAAGGAGGGATAGCTCTCACTGGTTTGGCTTGGTGGAAATCTAAACTTACCTAACAAACTGTAGCTGAGTCAGAAAGACCCAGAATATCCATAAGAAGGCCCAAGGGCCTGCAGCAGCTTGCATTGCTTCACAGCTGGGCCTCATCTGGGCACCTCCAAAACCCAAATTGTCAGTGCCACCCTGACAGGTGAACCGGACTGAGGTAGGGAGATGGGAATTAAGAAAAGGAAGACATGAAAGTGGGATAAGGAGGACTGAAAGCCATTGACAGATTGTAGCAACTTTATTAACTGTGAAATACTTTTTATACACAAACACTGACTGGGAGGTCAGTTCAAAAGGAAAGTACTTTCTGTTCCTCTTAATCTCTAAGAGAGATAAAGAGGAAGCCAATTCTTGGTACAGCAAACCTCATTAAATAGTTACAGACTTCTGGTAAGCCATGAAAGGTCGCTCTCATTCTGCTGACAATTGGAAATTGCCATCCAAACAAGTCAGGGGACACTGTGTGGGCAGGGTACTGAATCTTATCAGTCCCTTCCGGTGCTTACATCTGGTCTCCAACACCAAACGAAGAAGCAGAATCTGCAGATCTCTCTGTAGCTCCTGCTGGGTGGTCTCAGACAGAGGTTAAATTAGCACCTCCTTAGAGATCCAAAAGTCAGTGTATCCAATTGTTAGAGTGGTACCATCCAGATTACAGCTCCTCAGATCCATAAGGGACACACTCAGGGGGGGAGACTCAGTGAGCACCAAAGCCCCACTGAAGCAAGTCTTGCCCCACAAGTGTCTCAAGCACAGAAGTTCTCCCATCATAGACACAGCTGATCCTCATAACCAATTGGCCTGAAGGTCAGTTCCTCCCAGTGATACCAACAACAATCAAGGCTTAACTACAATAAGACTGTGCACACAGCCCACAGAGGGGTGCACCAAGAGTGTCCACCTCAGGTAATTGGGGAGGCTGAGCCATTGGGCCCTATAGAACACCTACCAAACAAAGCCACTCTATCAACTCAGGGAAACAGCTAAAATGTGGAGACAAAAAAACAGGTCACAGAGATATGAAAGCAAATGACGATATAGTATTCAAAACCACCATTATAAGGTTTTTCAAGAATTTTCTAGAAAAGGCAGATAAATTTAGTGAGACCTTTGAGGATATGAAAAAGGACCAACTAGAAATTAAACATACACTGACTGAAATAAAAAATAATATACCGAGATCCAACAGCAGACTAGAGGATTGCAAGAATCAAGTCAAAAATTTGAAATACAAAGAAGCAAAAAACACCCAACTGGAAAAGCAAAAAGAAAAAGAATCCAAAAATATAAAGATAGTGTAAGGAGCCTCTGGGACAACTTCAAGCGTACCAACATCTGAGTTATGGGGGTGCCAGAAGAAGAAAATAAGATACTGAAAACCTATTTAAAGAAACAATGACAGAAAACTTCCCCCACCTGATGAAAGAAATAGACTTACAAGTCCAGGAAGCACAGAGAACCCCAAACAAAAGGAATCCAAAGAGGACCACACCAAGACACATCATAATTAAAATACCAACAGCAAAAGACAAAGAGAGAGTGAATCCAAGTAAGTCTGTGTGCAGGCCCTTTAAGAGAAACTGCCTGGGACTCCCATAGCTTCCTGTCACTTAGCCACACTCCCTGGTGTACTTTACAGCTAGATGTTGTGCTGACTTTTCCTGGCTCTGGAAATCTCTACATTCAAGATATCCCTCCCAATTGATTTTTTTGTTAATCCTCACCCAAGGATATTTTTCTTTTTTTTTTTTTCCTTCTTTTTAATCTTTATTGTTCAGATTATTAAAGTTGTTCCTCCTTTTTTCCCCCCATAGCTCCCCTCCACCTGGTTCCCACCCTACCCAATGCCCTTATCTCCTCCCCCACCCCCACTGTCCTCATCCATAGGTGTATGATTTTTGTCCAGTCTCTTCCTGTACCCCACATACCCCTTCCCCACCCACCCGAGGATTGTCAGTCCACTTCCTTTCTATACCCCTGATTCTATTATATTCACCAGAAAAATCTGTTCATCAGATTTTTTGTTCACTTGAATTTTTTTAGATTCACTTGTTGATATATATGTATTTGTTGTTCATAATTGTTATCTTTACCGTTTTCTTCTTCTTCCTCTTCTTAAAGAATACCCTTCAGCATTTCACATAATACTGGTTTGCTGGTGAAGAACTCCTTTAGATTTTTTATCTGTGAAGCTCTTTAGCTGCCCTTCAATTCTGAGTGATAGCTTTGCTGGGTAGAGTAATCTTGGTTGTAAGGTTCTCAGGATGTCACTAGGTTGGGGCATGGCTAACAACCATGGCTGCCATCAGTGTTTCCAAGTGCCCTGCTTCCCTGCGATCCAGCGCAGTAAACAATGATTGCTGCGTCGCCCTCACTTTGGACCTGATCCCCGTAGTCGTCTGGGTCCCCACATGTCCCCAGAAACTGGATTTCAAACTGATAGGGAGCTTGTTTCTTTTCGGGTTGAAAAGAAAAGCTGAGCCGCGTGCCCAGTTGCCCACCACCAGCCCTATTTGCATACCTCCGCACCTAGGCTCCTCAGCTTTTCAGCGTTTGCACTCCTTTCTCTTTCAGCCAGCCTTCCCGTGGTTTTGGATGATAGATGTCCTTTGTATTAGTTTTAATTTTTTAAATTGTTGTGCGAGCAGCAGACCAGTTTGCCTATGCCACCATCTTCGTATTGCACTTTTTTAAAGTACATTACATTTTAAAGCCATTTTTAAAAGGTATAAGATTTCAACAAATCATTTAAAAGAAATATGAGGAGAAAACTGTATGTTCAAGATTACAAGCAAACAATTCTTGCTTAGAGGCATACAAATTAATTCTGTCTGGAGGATGAACAACTCTCACAGCTGGTAGAAAAGCTTGTTTTGTGTCCACCTGAGCATCTGTTGAAGCATCCTTTTCCTCAGTATAAATCTGCCTCTTTGACCCTAACTGGGTTGGCTCAGTGGATAGAGTGCTGGACTGCAGACTGAAGGGTCCTGGGTTCCATTCCAGTCAAGGGCATGTACCTTATTTGAGGGATCAATCCCCAGTGGGGGGTGTGCAGGAAGCAGTTAGTCATGTTTCTAGCTCTCTACCCCCCTCCTTTCCTCTCTGTGGAAATCAGTAAAATATATATTTTTTAAAAATCTACCCCTTTGTCTGACTTCTCTTTTTTTAATGGAAAAAAAATTAACATCTTGGTTCCTGCAGTTAATTAAAGTTAAAAACAAAAATAGCCCTAACCCGTTTGGCTCAGTGCATAGAGCATCGGCCTGCAGACTGAAAGGTCTCAGGCTCCAGTCCAGTCAAGGGCATGTACAGTACCTTGGTTGTGGGCACATCTCTAGTAGGAGGTGTGCAGGAGCCAGCTGACCAATGTTTCTCTCTCATAGATGTTTCTAACTATCCCACTCCCTTCCTCTCTGTAAAAAATCATAAAAATATATTTAAAAATATTTAACTAGTATTCATTTCCTAATATATAAGAACAACGACTTTTTGGGGGGAGGGCAGTAGTTATCTCTTAACAAAATAAGCAATTAAACAACTCGTACGTTGACAGTGTAATGTGTTATGGGGAAAATAAAACAGAATAAGGAGGGGCATAGGCATGTCACTCTAGAGAAGGTGCCGAGGGGGAGGGGGATCCTCCAGAATAAAAGTGCTACCGAATTACTCATTATGAGAAATTCAAAGGTAACCCGGTGCCTCCTGGGTTTGACCTGGCAGGACAGCTTCTGAAGGTGTGAGGGCACTGGCCTGGCGAGGCTGTTAGCTAGAGCGCTCTGACTCGAGGCCGGGGCGGGGGACCGCGGGGAGGGAGGCCGGGGGGGACCGGGGAGGCGGGAGCGGGGGACGGGGAGGCCGGGGCAGGGGCAGGGGAGACCGGGGAGGGAGGGGGGGCCCGGGGAGGGAGGAGGGGGGGGCCGGGGCGGGTTGGGCGTCCGCGGGGGGGGAGGCCGGGGCAGGAGCAGGGGAGGCTGGAGGACCGGAGTAGGCGGGGGCGGGGTGGGCGTCCCCGGAAAGGGAGGCCGGGCGGGGAACCGCGGGGAGGGAGGCGGGGAGGCCGGGGCCCGGATGGGCGTCCGCAAGGAGGGAGGCGGGGGGCCGGGGAGGCGGGGGCGGGGGGGCGCGCGCGCGCAGGGGGCTGCGGGGGGCGTGTCCGCCCAGGCCCCGCCCCGTGACGCGCCGCGCCTGCCCGGTCGGCGTGGGGAGCAAGCCCGGCGGCGGCGGCGGCGGCGGCGGCGGCCTGAGCGGTGGCCGCGGGCTCGGCCGCGGTGCGGGCCCATGGCGGCGGCGGGCGCGGCGGGGACGGCGGCGGCCCGGTCGGCCGAGGGGCCCCCGGGGCCAGCGGCGGCGGAGCTGTGGCTCAGTGAGTATCGGCGCCCTGGAGGCGGCCGCGCCGCACGTGAGGCCTGGCTTCCCCGCCTCCCGCCTTTCCTCCGGGGCCTGCGGGCGGGCCCTGGGCCGCGGGCGGAGCCGGCGCTGCGCCGCCCCGTCTCCAGCCCCGGCGGACATTCGCGGGTCCCGGGCGTCGAGCTCTTTGGTGCCGAGCTCGGTGCCGGAAGCGGTTTCCGCTGTTGTGAGCCTTCACGGAGGTCCCGAGGGCTCTCCCTGCTCCGTCTACCCCGTTTCAGCGGCGGGACGTGCACGAGGGCAGCTCCCTGCGCTCCCGGGGCTGGACGGCCGCGGCCGCCGTCTCTCCTGCCGAGGACCTGTGGGGAGCACCCTGTGGGGAGCACCCTGTGGGGAGCACCCTGTGGGCGAGCAGCCTGTGGGCGAGCAGCCTGTGGGCCAGGACCCTGTGGGCGAGGACCCCGCGCTGGTGTCCCGCAGAGCCGGCCTGGGCGGTGCTCGCAGTGGCCGCTGCTGAGTGCGGGGTGCCTCCTGTGAGGGGCCCCGGGCCGGGCGGGGCGGGCGTGACCGCCCCAGGTCCCCGAGGACGGGCTGGGGTGGGATCCGCGGTGAAGACCGGGCTCCTTGCATGGGCTCTGCTCGGTGCTGGGCCCGGACAGCTAGCACTGGGTCCTCGCTCACAAAGACTGTTTTCGGTTGATCCATCCAAGCCTCTAACATCACCTTGTTTATAACGGGCACAGGGACGCTTTGTTTAAAGTGCGGTAGTAGGAATTTGTGTGTGTGGTTTTTTTTGTTTTTGTTTTTTTTCCTGGGGACTGTTTCAGTGGATATAGCATTTGAGTGGATAATGGAGGTGACAACATTCCAGACGCAACCACAAGTGCAAAAGCTGAGGGCAGGAGGCGGCTGGAGCGTTCTGGGCTCCGCTGGAGTGCAAAGCTGAGAGAGGCAGAGGCTGCAGGGCTCGTTGGGACAAGTTGTTCCAGGGGCTTGTATGCTGCAGAAAGGAGTTTGATTTTTTCCTGTGATGTGGGGCTGAGGGCTAGAGTGTTGGACTTCAGCCAGAGCATTTGTGGTGAAGGACACCTCTGGAAAGTATCGCCTGCCGCCATGTGGCGCTGAGTTGGTTAGGCCCTGAGACTCAGGGGGGAGAGGTTTAAAGCTCTTTGGAAGTCTTATGGGCTCAGGTAGGACAGAGGCTTTGGGACGGAGAGGAGAGACAATGGAGGAATCGGGTGGGTCCCAGGTTTCTGGCTCCCGGAACTGGAACTGGTTGGTTCCAGACACTTCACCTGGCAGGAGGACTGGTCCAGGAGGGAGACCACAGTTGAGTTGTGGAGGTGGAAGTGATTTTGGCACAGTGAGAGAGAACCTCTCTAGGTTAGTTGGTCGGCCCCAGATCAGGTCAGCTGGAGGTTAGTTTGGGAATCTTCAGTTCATTGGCAGTGAGCTTGGCCAGGGAGGCTGTGAATAGTAAGAAGGCAGAGACTTGCAGACAGAGCATGGAGAACCTCAGCATTTAAGAAGCTGATAGGACCCGATCAGCATGGCTCAGTGGTTGAGTGCTGACCTATGTATGAACCAGGAGGTCATGGTTCAATTCCCAGTCAGGGCACATAGCTGGGTTGCAGGCTCCATCTCCAGTGCAGGAGGCAGTCAGCCAGCGATTCTTTCTAATCATTGATGTTTCCAGCTCTCTCTCCTCTCCCTTTCTCTCTGAAATCAATAAAAACATATTCTAAAAGAAAGAAAGAAAAAAAAGAGAAGCAGATGGGAAAACCTGCCTACAGACAGAGAAGAAGCAGACATTGGTGGGCAGGTGGAAGCTGGGAGTTAAATGGCGAACAGAGACTTAGGCTGGAGTTGCAAAAAGCCCACGTGGGTTGGGTTAGAGGACAGCAAGTGCTGGCCCACTGACCGGACCTGGTGACCCTCGTGGTGACCTGGTGGGAGAGATTAGAGGGACAGTGCCCAGGGCAGTTCTTCAGCTCCCGCTCTCTAGGCCTAAGTGGTCCCAAAGTTGCTAGAGGTTCCAGTTTTCCAGATAGGGCTGGTACCTACATTTTTATGTAAAATCTTTTGAGTTTTTAAAAGCCAGGTTGCTCAGTTGGTTGGAACCTCGTCCGGTTGTGCCAAAGTTGTGGGTTTTGTCCGTGGTCAGGCCACATGCAAGAATCAACCAATGAATGAATAAATAAATGGAGCAAGTCAATGTTTCTCTCCATCCCTCCCTCTTTTCCTTTCCACCTTTTCCACTCTCCCACCCTCTCCTTCCCCTCTTCTCAAGTCAATAACTAAAACATTAAAAATAATAATAAAAGATGACAACTACTTTGAAAATATGAAGTTCATCTAATCCTGGCCAGGCAGAATTAATCTGTGGGGAGATATAGTCTTTGGCCATCAGCCCCTCCCCACCCCTACCCTTTAAAAAAATGTTTTTATTGATTTTTAGAGAGAGAGGGAGAGGGAGAGAGAGAGAAACATTAATCATGTGAGAGAAACATTAATAGGCTGCCTCTTGCATACCCCCTTCTGGGGATCAAGCCCATTACCCCAGGTCTGTGCCCTGACTGGGAATCAAACCAGAGACCTTTTGGTTCCTAGATGGTCGCTTAACCACTGAACCAAACCCAGCCAGACTAAATTGTGTCAATGTGAAATGGAGGAGAGAGAATAGCTAGAGGGAGTTAGACATAAGAGAGGTGTTAAAAGGAGGTGGGCATCGGTGAGCCCCTCTCTGCTTGATGTTGCTTTGGGGGAACTCTGCCTCCTGAATTCTAGGTCCCACTTTAAGCCATTGCAGAGGGGTTTAAAGGTGCTAAAGGTCAGAGCTAGAGCAGAAAGGGTGACACACAGGACTGACACCTTTTGTTCTTCTGAATGTCTGGGGAAGGAGATAGAGATGATTGCACATGCAAATAAATTTGTCAGTACCGCCCCTTTAGTCCCCCTCCCCACACTGAGTGTTAGGGGATGATCAGTGTGAGGAAGGCGGGGATGTCTGGGAATGGCTGTAAGAAACAGAAGGGAGCCAACCTGGACACTTGGGGACAAGGTTTCTCAATTTCAGTGCTGTTGACATTTTGGACCTTATAATTCTATGTTGTGCGGTCCTGTCCTGTGCATATAGTTGATGAGTGGAATCCCTGGCTTCCACTAGATACAATAACACACATCTTTTTCCAGTTGGTCAAAAATGTCTCCAGACATTGCCTGATGTCTCTTGGTCTCTTGGAGGAGAGAGGCAGGATCCCCTGATGCCTCCCGACCTCCACCTAATGGGGACAGAGAGGGTGAACAAGGTTAAACCAGAGTTGTGGGAGGCCGGGCTGGGGCACAGGTGGTGCAGTGCCAGGATAAGGTGGAGAGGTTGTCAAGGCCAGGGCAGCAGGCTGGATGGAGGAGAAAGTCACTTGGGCTGGGTCTGAGGACGGCTGAGCTTGGCTCATTGACTAACCTTGCCTCGTAAGGAGGGCAGCTGTGTTTCCAAGATGGGACTGGAGTAAAAACAGGTGCCTTTTAGGGTCATAGGCATCAGAGGAATCAATACCTGTGAAGTACTTCGAGTAGTGCCTGGCACATAGCAGTGTTAGCTACTATTGTCAGTCTTTTTAGTTGTAAGTGACAGAAAACTAGCTCATATAGGACTCCCAAAAACAGGGGAAAAGGAAAAACATTACACCTAGAATTGGGAAGGAATAGTTCCCAAAGGATCATCAGGAAGCTGTTATCAGAGTTTCTTGCTTTAAAAATACATACAGCAACTTGTGTGCATTCAGGAGTTTCCCCCATGTGGATGACTTTGGTCAGTGTCTCACATGACTGTGTGTGTAACTACCAGATTCCTGTTCACGAAAGCCCTACACACTCCCTTGTATGGGTGTACTACGGCTGGCTAACCAGTCCCCAGAGGTGCACATCTTAGGTGGTTGCCAGTCTCCTGCTATTAAAAGCAGACCAGGCCCTCTGGATCTCTGGGATTCGGGTAGCTGGTTGTGCTGTCAGCAGGCAGTAGCGTAAAGCCGGGTGCTCAGTTAGTCCCTTCCAGCTGGACCTCCTCCCAGCTGGAGTGTCCTGTCTTTTTTCCATCCCCACTTGTATGCCTCCCTTGGGGATTAGGAGAGTCTGGGTGACAATCTATTTATGTTCTTGGAGCTTCTCCAGGGCTGAGTTCAATCTCTGCCATGGAGCCCGGCACAGGATATCCTTCAGCATATGCTTGTTGGATGGCTGCTGGGCGGGAGGAGTCAGCGTGCACCTCCTGCAGATGGGGCCCCCTGTGCAGTGCACTGAGTGCAGTTGGCGGGTTGAGTTCCAAATGCTCCTTTGGGCTCCCCTAAAGTATAGCACAGGCTGCTCCAGCAGGCCAGAGGGCCGGAGGCTTGCCCCTGGCATTTGGGTGCAGGGGGTGGGGATACTTCTTCTGGATTAGTCCTCTAGGATGAGTCATTTCATTCACAATCAGAAGTTTTAAGCAGTTTTTTTTTTGTTTGTTTGTTTTTTAATTAGAGAGAGAGAAAAGAAGGGAGAAGAGGGGAGAGAGAAAAATATTGATGTGAGAAATCCCAGTCAGCCAATCAATCCCTGCATGCACCCTGACCAGGAACCAAACCGGAGGCCCCATTACACAGGATGATGCCCAACTAACTGAGCCACACCAGCCAGGGCTCAACAATTTAAAATATATATATTTTTATTGATCTCAGAGAGGAAGGGAGAGGGAGAGAGAGAAACATCAATAATGAGAGAATCATTGATTGGCTGCCTCCTGACTGCTCCCAACAATCGAGCATGCAACCCAGGCATGTGCCCTTGATTGAAATAGAATCTGGGACCCTTCAGTCTGTAGGCTGATGCTCTGTCCACTGAGCCAAAGCGGCTAGGGCTCAACGGTTTTCTTAATATCTCTTACCAAGTCATCTACTTGAAATGCCTACACACCTTGCTTTTATTAAGCAAATCTATGACAGTAGTATTATTTGTCCGCCCAAGTGCCAGTTAAATAAACTG